GTCGACCCCTAATCTGTACTGATGCCTGGGGTTATTCCTTCCCAGGTGCAGGACCCTGCACTTGTCCTTATTGAACCTCATGAGGTTCCTCTCTGCCCAACTCACCAGCCTGTCCAGGTCCCTCTGGATGGCAGCACAGCCCTCCGGAGTGTCAGCCACTCCACCCAGCTTGGTGTCATCTGCAAACTTGCTCAGAGGAGCAAGCCATTCTTATTCACATTACCTATCTTTATAATGCAGATTTACCAAACCCTTGCAGAAAATAGGATGTTGGCCTTTAGTGATTGCTCTAAGGGCTCCAGTGTCTCCACTCCAGGGAGACTAGAAGTACCAAACCCTTTCCCACTCCTCCACAGGCTGGGCTGCTCACTTAAAAGGCCCTGATTCCAGATTACCTGCATTACCTGCACCTGAGAATAAATGCAAGTGCATTTATTCTCACTCCTTCCCAGACCCTTTTTTTCAAGTCTTCTTCCATGTCATCAAAAAAGATAGGGAAAAAAAGGGGGGGGGGAAGCACAAGACGAAGAGTCCTGACCAGGTAGTGAAAGGAACTACTCGGAAGTACTTTCATGACTTTGAGGCAGTGCCTTTGGTTTCCTCCATTGCTCACCTTTAAATCCTTTCCCGTTTAAAATCAGACTGTTTGGTTTCCACACATGTTCAACCCTCACAAAGGGCTTTTTCCTGTCTCCTTCCCAATATACCAATTCCACCATCAAAATGCCTTTCCTCAGTTGCTGTCACCATTCTGCACTCCTGTGTTTCATGCCTAAGTCTAAAATACACCTATTAGTATTAGGTATTAGTTCTGACCTGAACTCTTGTCCCAGCCACAGCTTTTTTTCAAATGATTCCAGTTCCTAAACATGCTCCACATCCCTCTCCTATGACTTGTTTTGAGTGTCTCCTATGTGACCTATTTTGGCTTTCGTGTGTCTTATTTTTCCCCCTACCCCACCAACATTTAGGACACTCCGAATTCTCCACTGCCTCCAGGAAAATTGTGTCAGGTCTTATTTGGTGACAGAGCTATAGTCTTGTAAAAGATACAAAGAACATTACTGTTGTAGAGGAGATCAGAGCAAGGAGAGTTGAGTTCAGTTCTCAGCTCAATTACAGACTTCTTGCACAACTGGCAAAGTTTTCTTACTTTTTGTTTGCAACCAAAATCATGCATTTTCAGAGACCCAATTATACTGAATTGAGAGAGAAGGGAGAGACAAGAGTGCAGGACTAACCCTCAGACATGTACAACCTTGTCCCAGATTCAGTGGAAGCACAAAAAAGTACATAAGAGAACACAGCTGCTCTGAATCTGCCACTGTTTGATAATAATTACTCTTCATAAAAAAAGAAAAAGAAAAAAAAACAGGAAAAAAAAAAAAAAAAGAAAAAACAAGGAGTGCCCTCCTTGCATTGCCCTGAATCAATCAAAGTATTATATACCATACCTATATATTTGTCTCTTTGCTGATTCACACTCAGCAGACATACTTGGTAGACACAACAACTGGCATTACAGAACCCTCCCGGTCTAAGGCTCCCTCATGGGCCCTGCTTCTTTAGGCTCTGTGGACAGCTTGTATTTGCTAGCAAAGGAAGAGCCCATGGGAGCTGACACTGGATTTAGAGCATTAGAATAATGCCTGCCATGTGGCCACTTTTAAAAATTAATTTGGAGAAAATGAGACTTTGTAAAACTGAGTGATAACGACTGACTATGGACAGACTAATCTGCTTCAAAGAAACAGCTACTGATAGGATATCTTGCTAGACTAGAGGCCACCAGTCAGAAAAACAGTCTGTGGTCACACCTCTGGACAGTCTGCTATGACATTTTAGAATAAAAAATAAATTGGGGTCAAGTAAAGACAGGCAGCGTGGCCACAGAAAATGCAGGTATCTAAAGCGCACAACTAAAATGCACAAGTGAAAATAATTAAAGTTACAATGTCAAAATCAGCACATATGCTGATTACTTCCTTCTTTAATGTACGGACAGGACACACAATGCAAAACTATTCCTTATTTGCCAGCTGTCTAAATCTTCCCCACATGGCCTAAGGACATCTTCAAAGAATGGCCAATAGGAAGAAAAAAAACTTCTAGAGCCCTAGTGAATTATCCCATAGCACTCAATGCTCTCTACAAATACACCACAAATATCATGATTTTTGTAACACCTGTGAAGCAAGACTTCTATATAGTCTTCATTTCTTGAAGCAGTTAAGACAAAGTGTCTACAAGGTGCTAAGGCTGCATCTGCTCTGCTTCAGAGAGTTTTGAATTTCCCCTCATGTTTTTGAGGTACTGCCTCCACAGTGGCCAGTTAAAGCTTTGCACTCCTGCAAATTAGCCACTAATGTCCAAAACTGGCTATCAATAAAAGATCACAGAACCACAGAATGGTTGAAGTTGGAAGGGACCTCTAGAGATCATCTAGTCCAACCCCCTGCTCCAGCAGGGACACCCAGAGCACGGGGCACAGGGCAGCATCCAGGTGGGTTTGGAGACCTCCAGAGAAGGAGACTCCAGAACCTCCCTCAGCAGCCTGTTCCACTGCTCTGTCACCCTCACAGCAAAGAAAGTCTTCCTCACATAGAGAGGAACTGCTTGTGTTTCAACTTATACCTATTGCCCCTTGTCTCGTCATGGGCCACTACTTAGAAGAGCTAGACCCCTCTTTAAATCCTCACCTTAGGTATTTCTACATGTTGATAAGATCCCCTCTCAGTTTTCTCTTCTCCAGGCTAAACTCTACACAACTGGCAGTAATTAGCAGAGCTGCAACCTGTACATTTGCCATATGTATCTGTTTATTAAAAAAAAAAAAAATGAATAGCAGGTAGCAATCTAGCTTAAAAATTCTGGGTGGGCCAGGAGGAGTGAGGCACAGTCTGACCAAGGGCTTCACAAATACTGGTTGACAATGAAATGGTGAAGAACCAAGTTTGCAACTCTGTGGGGATGTCTGCTCCCTTGTGACCATGTTCATCTGCCTCTTCCCTCCAAAGTTACTATTTCTTAAGGACAGTTCTGTTCTCTCTGTAACTCTTACTGCTTCCAGTCACTGCCATTCACTCTCTTTCCACCTATATCCTGACCCTGACAAATATCCTGATCTCTTTCCACCGATATCCTGATCCTGACAAATCATCCAATGAAGCAAGCTTGGCTTCCTACTCCCTGGCTCCCTATTTCAATGAAGCTCAGTTCCTTTCCTTCTGGTTCCCCATGAAATCCATCTCTCTCCACTTTACCATCATTGTTTAATATATGCCCACATTCCTTATTCCTCTTCCCACTCAAATTTGTCTCTTACCCTTTTGGGATACTCCCCTGAACTTCATTTTAGTACTGAGTTTTCACATGCCCCGATTTTTTTTCCCTATTTACTGCCCTCATCTTTCCACAACATTTTTTCCCTCAGTTTCAGTCCCATCTAAAAGACAGACCCATTTTTTTCTTCCCCAAGCTGCCGTATCACCATCGAACCAGTCTTCTCTTTCTGTAAATTCTTATCACCCTAGTCATTTAATCAGTTTCTTCTTACCTTCAAATGAGGAAAAAATCTCAAGGGGAAAAAAATGAGGGCAAATTGCAAGGGCTTACACTGCTGCATCATGTTTTACCTATGGAAGATTGTGTGCAGACCAAGCAACATCTTATCAAGGCCGCTAGCAACACTGTGGGCCCGGATATCCACACACATAAAAAGTGAAAAATTTCTAATCTCCCCAGACTATCAACTGTAGATTGTGCTGCAAATCTTGTAGAAAACATTTTTTAAAATTTCTGACAAATTAGCCTTCCGCATTCAACCTTGCAATGCCACCTTGCTTTCCACTGAAATGATTTCAGGGTGATGATTTGCCATCCCTGGTGACGCTTCACAGAAATGGCTGTCCCATGGCATCGCCCTTCCCAAGAGAAGCGGAGAGCTCCCCTGTGTTCCCAAGAGTTTTCCATGTGAGAGATGACTGGGTTACTAGGTGCTGGGCAGCAGGGCACTGAAAAAGCCAGAGCTGGCTCAAGAGAGCAGTGGGGTCACATATGGAGGAACACCAGAGAAAACTGGAAGGCCTAGGCAACGTCAGAAGCAGGATAAGGCTGAGGTGAACGCACAGGAATGCATTGTGGCAGGGGGGTGCAGAGTATTTGGATAGGAGACTGCTGAAAGGGAAATATTATCCTGCTTTCTCATAATCTAATGGCTTATCTTTTAACAGGCTGATTATCCCACTGGAAAACTGTCCGACTGTATGTGACTCACAAACAGAGGCATTGGCAGGAATCTGCTCTCCAAAAACAAATCTCTCCCTCATTTTTTGCTTCGGCTTAGCCATGATTCCCTCCCACAGCGGCTGCACTAGCAGAGAACCTGCCCTTGTGAGAAGAACTTGGCTGCTAACCCCCCGGCAAACAAACCTCTGGTAACAGACTCCGGCCTTCTCCTCGCCGCCGGGTGCTCAGCAGCACCTCTACGAAGTCCACCTCACTGCTGGGCTCTGCAAGCTCTGGAAATCTCTGTCTCACAGAGCACCTTGTGCTCAGGGCCTACAAACCGATCTCGGAATTACGCCAACAACCACACTACACTTCATTTTATTACGTTTGCCTAATATAAGAGCGCTGGTTGACAGTTACTTTTGTACTGGTGACACGGAAGTCTTGTGGCCACGTAATACAGCGTCACTCTACTGCAATTACAGCATGTATTAGCATGTATTATCTAAACAAAAGGTCTTTGATCTAATCCATTGTTCTTTTGTCCACCAATTTCCTATGAGGTTTATTCCAGAAGAAAAAATAAATAAATAAAAAAGCAAAAATTCACTTGCAAAGGCCAGGAGGAACGCTTCCTGTTCCAAAGTACATTGTCTTCTGTCGATGTGAGAAAATAATCAACAAATATATTATACAAATGCATTCAGTTTTAAAGCATGAAACATTACCAATAGTCTTGGATTCTGAAAAGCACATTTCTAGCAACTTACTTTCACCGGCAGAGTAGTCCTGGGGATCAAGTATCCCTGACTCCTGCAGTGATCTAATACAGGAGTCCACCAGCTCCAGACCAGTGGTGAGTTCATCTTCTATGTCCTTCTGGCCATCTGCAAGAAGATTAATGACATAAAGAAGAGAGGACGGGCAAAGCCAGGCACATGTGACTAAACATTCACAGCTAAGGAATCACATATCCACAAGGAAGCTGCCATGAAGAACCAGGGAAATTCTGCCTGCCCCTGTACTGACAACATTCAGGTCTAATCTCCAAACTGTTCAAGGTTTCACATACTGACATTTTGAGCAGTACTCCCCTCAGAAAACTGTACAATACTGAAGGTGCTTTATTTGCCTGGCCTAGCATCTTTCCTGATTTTTGTTAGTTTTCCATACGGTCATCTTTTTCTATTAGAACAAAAATACGCAACAATTGCATATTGTTTTTTCCCTATCTGTTTTACGGAATATGATTGTTCAGGAAAATAAGTTATGCCGCAATGAAAAGTAGATTACCTTGTGTCTGCCAATGAAACTGTTCTTCTGTTGAACTGTAAAGAAAAAAAGAAAGATTTTTGTTTTTGTGAAATCATTCAGTAGAGCCCAACCAATATCCAGACCTATTCTGATAGGACTGACTTAGGCATGTTAAAAACACATTTAAAATACATCAACTCTTATTTTATTATTTTTTTCCTCCTGTGAATGATTTGCACATTTTGCAAGGAGGATACTTCTTAAAAGGAGATCTTCCCTTCTTAAATATATAAAGCATACAGAAATATATTTAGATAACAAATATATAATGTATATATATAAAAACTGCTCTCTCAGCCTTGAAATACAAACTAGACCATTCCATAGACAAAAATATTAACATTTTACCTTGCAGCCTTTTTTGATCATTTTGTTACTGTCTTATTGATTGATTGGAGAAAGCCATAGTTTTCTCAGGTGAACAGTTACATGTGACTCCTACAAGAATCTACCCATATAACTGCTGGTTCCACTGAGCATCATGTGCATTTTTATATTACTCAAATGTATAGCAAAGTTAATTCAATCAGCCTACGTAAGGCAGTAAATCTACATGTGTTTCTGTTTCCATGTACAAACACTTAAACAAAGGGAGGTCTTAAAATAAGGAGCATCCAAATATGAGCATGGGTGAGATAATTTTTTTCTAAATGGAGGTTATATTCAACCGGGGAATGCGTACACTTCTGTGCAAGGCATGATCTGCTTATCCTTCAATGTGCATTTTTCTTTCATGCCAAGAATACAGAAAGGACTAAAACTACACAGCAATAATCATTCTTTTGATGACAGCGATCTGATTATTATAGTCATGATTAAAACATTTCTCTAGATCTTTACAAGGTATTTTTAGGGGAGAGCAAAATAATGTGTCACACCCATCAGTTTAAAAAAATGTATTTTTTTAATTGTTGAAACTGTAAATTTATTTCTTTCTGAGACGCTCTTTTTAATGAGGAAGTGGATTTTACAGCTTGAATTGTTTGCCATGTTCCCAAAGGATGCTGGATCATTTATGAATATGTGAGCACAGCTTCTAATATCTATGTTCTGTGAATAACGTAAATGAAATTAGAAGGTTCTTTTTCAGAGGTCCCTTTTTATAGGAAAAGAACTTGATTTAATTATTAATCAGATCTAATAGTTACCAGAAATGGATAATTGCCTAATTTACATATAAATAGTTTTAAAAACACATCTTTAAATCTCTAACTGGCATCAAAAGTCTTATTCTGACAAATTCACATCTCTAGATCATGGTTAATTTCCAGATATCTATACATATCTACCATCTGTGGTTGAGACTGACTCACTGGAGGGGGATTTCATAGACTAAGAAGCTGGCCCTTCACTGCAACTGAAATGCCTGCATTTAAGGCTATCAAAGTTAATAATATTTAAGGCAAACGTAGCCCGAGTCCTTTGGCAGACACTAATGGCAAAGTGCTGCACCAGAAGAAATGACTTCCACCTGCATTACGACTGACACGGTACACATGCTGATAGGGGCTGATTGGTAGTGTTGACCTACACCACTATTTGCACGAACATTTAATATATCCAGCTGAAGAAATCTAAAATTGGAGGGCGTAAAAAAGAGCTGTAGCAAGTTTGGCACTTTCCAGTTTTAGTCAAGCTTCTTTCAACAAATACTGTAACTCTCTGCTAATAAATATCGTAACTGTTGTAGTTAACAGATTTACCTAACTTTTATTTCATGCTGATAGTGCCTTTTGATTCAATGCAATAGAAGTGCATTAGCTCCTGCAAGGATATCAGTATGTTCTGAAAAGAATTCTGCTTCCCCTTATTAAATCTGTGATCTTTAGCTTTGAAATAGCCTGATGTAGTTGCATACTACAAGATTATTTCTTAGTTACAAACCAAATCTTGCAGACAAACACAAAACAAGTTCCCCAAGAAAAATCTGATTAGGATTTGACACATTTTAAACGTAAACATGTCTTTCCCACCCTCCTTTTTCTTGAACCTTTCTTTCTTTTTTTTTTTTTTTTCTGTTAAGGAGCCTTTCCTGCTCTTGCCCTGACAGGATTCCTGACTGCCACAACCCAACGTGTCTGTGCACGGAGCCTCAGCCTGTCTCACAAGTGTGATTAATCCGCCCGACGAGAACAAGGGCTTTTTTGTGGCTGTGGGGGTAATTTTGTCTACCCATGGGAACAGAGCAGTTGACTGTACACTGACACCAAATACCTGAAAAACACACATGACTAAGAAACATTTTCTCCTTGTTAATTTTTCAGCATGTTCAACAAAACATAGCTTTCAACCTGATAGTTTTTCTAAAGAAAAATGTTAAAAGTTCATTATCAACAACTTTTCTGTATATTCCTACGCCTAATTGTGCAAGGTTGTAAACCCTGCTCTTCCTCTAAAATCAGGAAGCTGAAGATAACAGATACTTCATTGGGAAGTTCTGAATTACACAAAATTGCACCAAGCAGAGTTTGAGGAGAAAGGGAGATGAAGAGAGAGGGAGGTTTCAATCAGAATTATGTTAATATAGCATAAGAAAATATTACAATAAAGTATCAATATGCTGAGAAGTCAGCTAGATATGTATAAGTATTGCCTCCCTTAACTCCAAGCAGAATTATTATTAGTTTGCTATGTTCTCCTCTCACTAGAAGTCACGTAATCATGTATTTACTACAAGTAAGACAACCTCTCCACATAATAATATTAGTGTGATGTGAGGAATCCTGTGTCACAGTTCAGCTATGCAGGGTTGATTCATCTGTATTTCTACAGCCTTCAGAAAGACAGGATTACTTCAAGAAATAAGTCTTTAGCTTCTCATTCTTAAGAGTCTTTTGCTTCCCTGGGAAGCTACTGTTAAAGTTAACAAAAAGTCTGGAGACTGATGTGTTCAGTTCTGACTGTTCATCACGAAGCTGATGAGCTCTCCATCATTTAGTGTGTGGTACCTCATGCCTAAGGCTATATCTTTCCTACCCACCTATGGCTGGAGACCCTCCAGTGGAAGCTGTCCCTGGCACAGCACGTGTGAGCAGAGCGACCATCGGGCGGTCGTCTTGGCTTTGGCTGCGCCCACAAGTGCCCGTTCCTGCACACGTGCGATGAAAACACCACAGAGCAAGAGACCGTCATCAGGGATGAGAGTTTGTACTTGACCCTACGTTCCAGAAGGGCGGAAGGAAAACAAGCGGAGCAGTTTCTTCATTTGGGGAATATTAGACAAATAGAGCACCCAGGGAACTCCATCCATATCTGTACTTTGTACCAAGACCAGAGGCAGAGTATTGCAGAAACACCAAGTTCCTATCATCAGCAAAGGCTACTACTGGAAAAAAAATACTATTGCTACACTATTAGCATTCCTGGGAATTTATCCACCCCAACTTTGTGTCTTTTTAGGCATGGAAACACATCTACAGTCTCAACTACAGTGTGTCTATATATAAGCAACAAACGGGGCTTCTGGGAGCCTTAATTCGTTTCTAATAACGTATCTCAAGTAAAGCTAAAAAGGAAGAGAGTGCCATGCATGAGGCCAACTACGTGAGGCCTGTTTTCTAAAACAACTCATGAAATTATATTTAACACTATCAAAGGGTGGCAATGGAAGGAGTTTGACAAGGGGCTGTGTCAGCACACAATCTTCTCAATTAGTTCTGCAATGGAGCCACCCAAACATAGCTGTAGATAATTACAGGCAGATACTGTCTCGCTGATTTTTAAATTGCTGTTCTGGATGCTCTTAATTTGTGGAAGGTGGAAGAAAAAGAGATTCCGAGGCATTTCCCAGGGGAAAAAAAAGGGGATGAGAAGCACTAATATTCTCTCAAAAGAAAGGAGAAGCGGCTCTCAAATCAATAGCCCACTTCTGGTTACCTACAAAATACTGAATAAACTTTAGAACCAACTGTCTGGAAAAAAAAAAAAAAAAAAAAAAGAAGCATCAGGAAAAGATTTGACATGAAATAAATCCAGGAAAAGCTGCCAAGCTCTCAGTCAATTACCGCAGAAGAGGCCAGATCCAGCATGCACAATTTTTTGTTCCACATTTTAAAATCAAGGGAAAATTTCTGGCTTCAAGGGCCACCTGCACAGCTGTGACACAGCAGCCTCTTAACTAGGGAGCAGAACACGGTCTACCAGTTAGTGCCGTTCTCTTTGACTACAAATTCCTAAAGGGAAAGGAGATGTCTAGTTTTCATGCTTTTTTCTTCATTTTCTTCATAATTTCTCCTCCTTTTTGAAGAATGGAACCTTTTTTTGGGGCTGTCCCCCAGATTTTACAAAATCTATAGCAGTATTCCAGGTTTCCTGGTGCAGACCTCCCCCATTTTTTTTCTTCTTACGAAGCCTACAGAGCATTTTTGGCAACAATTTTTTTCAGAAGGGCCTGGTGCTCAGAACCTTCTACATTTAACAGAAGTGTGCAAACACACTTTCCTTTAAAAGCCATTTTTAACTGCCCTGTATGTTATTCGTTCCTGCCTATACCCGCATTTCCCATAGCCATCACGCTTGACAATAATGGCTCTATATTTTTCTTGTTTAAACGAGATGTAATTTCAAAACGCTGGGAATGATTCCCCTGGGTTTCCTATGGAGCGCACACTGGGGACCGGCGGCAGCACCCTTGTCCTCAACATACCGGGCTGCTCACTTGCAGTCCACTTAGCGCTGGATTTCTGGTATTTTTCCTTGAAGGAGGAGTTCAAAACTGGTCCATCTGAACAGGAGCACCCTTAGAACGGCCCCGCTGCTCCGTGCTGTATCTCCTTGGACAGTGCTGCGCTGCATGTGCTCCACCCCACGGGTCATACTTGGGTTTGGCCCGAGCGGGAATTGCACGCAGGATTTGGGATGGACTCCAGTGCTCCAGCAGCACATCGGGAATTTGCAATAAGAGGAATGCAGGGCTGGCTCGCTGGAAATAGCACTGTCTTCCAGCAGCTGAGCAATTTGGCACTTAATCGCAACTCAGCCTACCAGTACTCATAAAATTATATCCTTTAAGTGT